CCTCCTTCTTGATCCAGTTACAGATTGCCAACTAGTCCTCACCCCATAAAACGCCCGTAATTGTCCGTTGATGTAGCATTGCCGCGTGCGGCGGTACCACACACTAAGAAAAATTGTTGCTGTGTGCTGTCCACACATCGATCCAGCGGTCAACTGCATAGCAGGTTTGGCGGTGTTGCGGGAGATCCCTACGTGAAAGCGGCGAGTAGGAGTAGTGTTTATTTCTTTTTTTTTTCACTGACAGGTGGGTCCTTCGTAAGGTAGAGAGAGGATTCTATGGTGTTTGACCAGTCCACAAGTGAAATACGAAGCTGTATGGTGAGACAGTGACCGTATAATCACCTCGAATCGTATATAGTGACTGTATTGATCGTAGTTTTAAGTACAATGATTAAAGCGAGGCTTCTGACACAAATTCAATGACCATAAATGCATTTTACTCTTTTAGGAATCTAGGTGTAGTCTTTCCTACTCGCCAGAAACCAGCGACCAGAGCCCCCTGTTTCCCCTGCATCTCGCTCCACGCTGAATCCGTATAAACGCCTCGCCCCTGCTCGTCGGTACACAGCGTCGACCCAATCACCCAACCAGAGCACGCAAGAATCAAACAACACAACCTCAGCGCGCGAGAGATCCATCGGAAGCACAGGAGAGAGATGAGCTCGTCGGCGGCCAAGAAGGGGGTGTCGATGGTGGTGGCGACGAGCATGGCGGCCGTGGAGGCGCTCAAGGACCAGGCGGGGCTGTGCCGCTGGGACTACGCGCTCCGCTCGGTCTACCACCGCGCCGTCCCGGCGTCCCTCACCTCCAACTCCTCCTCTTGCCAGGCCGTGAGCGGCAGCGCGGCCGCCGTCGGGAGGGCTGCCCGGCCAAGGCGGTCCGAGGAGGAGAAGCTGCACAAGGCGTATCACGTCGTCTGCTGGGGTCCCAACTGATTAGCACTATACTAGTCCATTTTTTTTCTGCTGAATCCGGTTTCAGATTCTCCATTTTTGTTCATCCCCTCTTGATTATCCGTGAATGATGTAAATCGAGATATAGGTTTGCAAGGTTTGATATGTGCTCGGTCCTCTGATTTGAGGCCAGCTGCCAAGTGATTGATTAGGCAAATATAAGAAATTGACATTGTTGTGCCCAATGAATAACTTCCTCTTCGCTCTGTCTCGGATCTTACCAATCCCCGATGTTTTTTCAGAGCATTGGTTAAGTGGCAGGCCACACTGGATCTATAGTGCAGCGCCTTTAGGGAGAGACAAATGTTCAGATTTTTTCAGATGCATCAGAGAAGTACCTAACAGACAAGTCAGCATTTGACAGTACATATATTGAATGCAATGCTGTACTAAATGAAGATTGACGAGAACAAACAAATACCAGATCATAGCAAGTCTCAGCCCACTACAATATATTCATAAGGCTTTCTTGCCCAGCTGTTTTTGCACTGAAATTATGATCAGTTTGTTCAAACCAAACACCAAGGTTGATTCATAAACTGCATAAACAAGATCTTTGAGAGTTCAAGGTGCAGAATACAAGAGCAACTTTAATGGGGCGATCCATTTCGTCCGCCCGCGTCCGTTTGGGTCGGCGCGGACAAAAATGGCGGCCCAACGCGCCGACCCAAACTCAAATCGTGTCCGCCTGGCGTCCGCGCCGACCCATTTCCGGCCCAAAATTGCGCCTGGAATGCGTCGGCGCGGACGCGAAGCGGACGCGCCGCGCGTCTCCTCGCCGTCCGCCGTGTCCCCACCTGGCGGCCACCCAACCGCCACCTGTCGTCTTATTTATGACAACCACCGACAGCGGGCCCACGCGTCAGCCAGTGCGCGCGTCCTTGTTTAACCACGCGTGCGGCGGGGTCGGCCTCATCCACTTCTCCCGTCCACATCTGGCCCCCCACCACTCCCTTTGCTTCCTCGCCGGCGACCGCAAACCCTAGCGCGCGCCATGGGCCTCTTCGCAGTAGCAATGGCAAGGGCAAGGGCACCCCCGGCGCCTCATCATCCCGTGCTCCCCCTCCACCGCCGGCGCGTTTTCGCCGTGAACGCCGGCGCCTGCACATCCCGATGCACCAAGCGCGGTGGCACTGGGAGTACATGCAGCCCCTCCCCTACCCCGACGTGACGCTGCCGCACCATCGCCGCCCGTCCAACCCAAGCTGGAGCCGGAGCCGGAGCCGTCGTGTAAGCGCTCCCCGCCTCCACCCACTTGGCCGGAGGAGGCCTACTTGTGGACGGGCCAGTACCGCGAGTGGGTGAGCGTGCCTCCCGTCCACTTCGCCGCCACGCCAGAGGAGGAGGTGGCCCACCTCGAGCGATGGAAGGAGCACTGGCTCCGCCAGGAGCAGGCCGACGGCGAGGAGTAGATGCGCTACGAGGCCATGCTCCAACGCGACGCCGAGGCGCTTCGGCTCGAGGAGGAGGAGGAGCGTGGCGGCTTGCCGCAATGCCGCCCCCCAGCAGACGCCGGAGGAGGCTACCCTGGCAACGTACCAGGCGACGTTCGGGTGGGCTGACCCTGCTGCGGTCTTCATCAACCTCACCGGCGACGACAGCGTCAAGGGCAAGGGCAAGGGCAAGGCCGGCGACGTCTAGGGCAGCATGCGGGGCGGCAGCAGGCGGGCGCAGACTTTTTTTAATGTTTTATTAAATGTTTATTAGATTTAGGTGGACTTTGGCCGGCGTTTGACCGGCCATTTTATGTTTAATTATGTTTATTTATGTTTATTTCGTGTAACTTGTTTTTTTTTTCACGCCGGCATATTTGGGTCGGCCTCCTCGTTGGGCGGTCAAGCCGACCCATTTTAAAATGCGGATATGCACGTCCGCCTGGCCGACCCAAACGGACAAAAAGCGGACAAAGCGCGCGTCCGTTTGGGTCGCCCCGTTGGAGTTGCTCTAAGGTCCAGAACACATAGTATATACTCGATGATATTTCATCCTTCATCAACTATACAACTTAGCACACTCTGGGGGATAAGATCTAATGCTTGACCTGACACATACATAGGTTAAGCAAACATGACATGGCCTGATGCTGTCAGGAACCACAAATTCCTTGAGAGTTATGCCAGTGAGAGGCTTAACTGAATTTACAGCACAACACATGCTACAAAGAACTAATAGTGGCAGGCTTGACATGTATTGTAGTCATATGTTTGAGGTTACACCAGTGGCAGGCTAAGCTGAGTTTACAGTAGAACACATGTAGAAAGTGACTTCGTTCAAATGCAGACAAGTGACAGAGAAGCCAACATCTGATCAAACATATCAGCAGTACGTAATTCAGTCAACACCTGTCAAACTGGGTACAGTTCCCAGGATTCATGCCTGGGTACATTCTCTTGGCGCCAGGAAAGGAACTTTTAATCAGCAATGAAGATGGCAATAGTGACAATAATAAATAAGGAAAACTGAAAAATAAAATAAACTGAAAACTGACAATAATTTATTCACCTGCACAAATAACCTCTCCAATCGAGGGCCACAGCAGGCCACAAGGAAAGTGTAAATGTCGTTTATGTTGTCGATCTCCATTGCGAACATCAGTAGCTGAAGCTCTCTCAAATTCAGCAATTTGCATGGTGCAGCGCCTGTGGCAACTAATCGGGCACGAGCCTTGGCAGACAGTCTCTGCAAAGCATAGCAACGAAGAAGGTTATCAGTAAGACAATAACAGAGAGCACTCGGATCAACCGGGTAGCATGAAATGCAGAGAGCGACGAACCCGTAGGGCACTGCTGCAGAGGGTAAGCACAGTGAGGTTGGACAAATTGGTTAGCAGTTGAAGCCAGTTTGTGCGCAGCTGGCAATAAGGTCCTGACAAGTGCCTCCGGCGGTTAGGTCCTCCGAAGCAGATGTAAAGGTCAGCAAGATTGGCGATGGCCGGGATGCTGTAGGCGGGAATGTAGGCGCCGCTGTAGTGGAATGAGCGCAGGCCGGACGCATCGTCGGCAAAAAAAACTTCGGCTTCCGAACCACTCTGCAAAGGTGAGGCTCCTCAGGTGTGCCCCGGCCGCCGCGACGATCACGGAGAAGAGGCTTTCGCAGTAGCGCAGATCGAGGGTGTGGAGGAGGGGGCACGCGGCGACCAGGGGATTGACTGTGCGGTCGGAGATGCGGACGCAGTGGAGGTGGATGACCTCGAGGGCGGAGAAGGGGTGGGAGTGGGCGGAGAAGGACCCGGGGAGTTCGACGGTCACGGCGCGGAGCGAGAGGCGCGCGAGGTGGGGGTCGCCCAGCGGGAGCCGGTAGTTGAAGACGCGGTTTGCGAGGTGGACGTGCAGGTCCTCGACGGCGCAGGCGGCCGCGTAGTCGAGGCAGCGGCGGAAGTGCTTGCCCTTGAGCTCGCCGATTTGGAAGGAGAGGGCGAACCGCTGGAGGCGCCGCCGCCCGCGCCGCTCCAGGGTTTCGAGGAGCGGGTGGGGGGAGTCGTGGGTGCCGAGGTGGAAGTCGAGGGAGGAGGGCGCCGGCCAGCGGTGCGTCCAGAGGGAGCGCCACCGGGTGGAGAGCGCGCCCGTGCGGATGGCGGATTTGAGCGGGAGCAGGCAGAGGATGTGCAGCCGCAGCGCCTCCGGCAGCTCCGAGATGCGGTCCTCTGCCGCCTCCGCGCCTGCCTGTACTCCCTCGTCCTTCCGCCGCCGCTTCGTGCCACCGTTGAGATGGGACGACACCGCCGCCGCCATTCCTCCCGTTGAGATGTGACGCCGCCGACGGCTCACCACCACTCTCGTTGTTTTTGACAGGGCCTCCAGTTAACCTCCGATCGATCGGCCCAAAACTTCCACGAAAGGAGGTGGTGGGCTTATCGGTGAATAAAATAAATGAGTTTTCTGGAGGACCACATTTATCAAAACGAATTTACGCCAGTAACAGCCTACAATGAATCTACAGTACAACGCATTTATAAAGGGATATCCCTCAAAAAAATTATAAAATGATAAATATTCATAATTTCATATTGACAAAAAGTTACCCCTCCGTCCAGGTTTATTAGGCCCGCCAACCGAATCGGCAAGACCAAGGCAGTCTTCTATTGGTGCACGTTAGTTTAGGTATTAATCCCTCGAGTAATTAGCTGATGCTTAGTATGGCACGTCATTTATTGTGGATAATTATGCAACCACAATCCCGCATGCTTTGCACCAATCGCTACCTTTGGAGCCCACGCATGCAACGTCTACGAATTAATTTTCCGCGGAACTAGCGGATGGAGCTGCAACCCAAGCGCCAAATCTCCACGCATGCAGCGTCTATGCATTAATTATTTCCTCGAAAATGCTGCCGAACGACGCTAATCTCGCATGCATGCATCGTTTTCAATTAACTTTCCTTGGTAATCGGACCGGAGGGCCTAATAAGAAGGGACGCCGCATTCTTGCTCACGGGCCCAATAAACCCGGACGGAGGGAGTAACATCTAACAATTGATTTACATCATCATGATACATTTTCTAAGACTCCACGCTCGTTGAACTCCATATATTGTTGTGCAAGAATTAGTTTTTTTTTACTTTGGGAAAAGAATCCTTTAATGTCCAAGAGGGGTAAACTCTTAAATTACCAATGAAGATAGTAAATACATCAAGGAATATTGAGAAAACATAGCACTGCAAGTCTGCAACTATTGCTGTTGTTCCAAACTTCCTTCGGTGCCAATAAAGTTTAGTCCATCTCGATGAATGAAATCCACTGCTTAGGGTTGTGTCAAGTGAAGTAGAGATGGATGGGTTTTGTGTAAGTTGAGGGTGCCAGAAAACAAAAAATAGGATTATCTCCATGCCCCCTAGAAACAACGATTGATGGACATGGGTGATGGGGTGTGTGTAGAGATCAGTGACAGTCCCTCATGGTGCTTGCCTGCCGGTTCGCCAGGTGTGTCTATTTTCCCCTAGCTCTAAGCCCTATCACTTTGACATCTCCCTTCTTGTTGATCTC